AATTCTAAGTCGATTTAACGATGTCCGTCTGTCTGTCTGTTGAAATCACGATACAGCCCACATTATTTGACGTAGAGCGCCAAAACTTAGCAGAGCAATTTGTATTGTGTCTAGGATGGTTGGTATTGAAAATAAGATATATCGGTTGGTATTGAAATAAGATATATAGTCCCCATATAACGGTACCTCCCGATATTCGGTATTTTGATGATTTATGCCACATTTTTTCACGGATTTGTCTGAAAATTGATATTTGTAGGTCATAACGGGTCCCTGTACGTGTGGCAAAACATTGCATGTATAGGTCCACGTTTTGGTATAGCCCCCATATAAAGGTACCTCCCAATATTCGTTATTTTTTTATTTTTGCCACATTTTTTCACGGATTTGTCTAAAAATTGGTATTTGTGGGTCGTAATGGGTCCTAGTTCGTGTGGCGAAACATTGTATGTATAGGTCCACGTTTTGGTATAGTCCCCATATAACGGTACCTCCCAATATTCGGTATTTGGATGATTTTTGAAACATTTTTTCACCTCCCAATACCTCCCAATATTCGGTATTTTGATGATTTTTGATACATTTTTTAACGAATTTCTCTGAAAATTGGTAGTTGTAGATCATAATAGGTCCCAGTTCGTGTGGCGTGTCATTGTAATCATAGGTCCACGTTTTGGTATAGCCCCCATATAACGAAACCTCCCGATATTCGGTATTTTGATAATTTTTGCCACATATTTTCGCGGATTTGTCTAAAAATTGGAATTTGTGGGTCGTAATGGGTCCTAGTTCGTGTGGCGAAACATTGTATGTATAGGTCCACGTTTTGGTATAGTCCCCATATAACGGTACCTCCCAATATTCGGTATTTGGATGATTTTTGAAACATTTTTTCACCTCCCAATACCTCCCAATATTCGGTATTTTGATGATTTTTGATACATTTTTTAACGAATTTCTCTGAAAATTGGTAGTTGTAGATCATAATAGGTCCCAGTTCGTGTGGCGTGTCATTGTAATCATAGGTCCACGTTTTGGTATAGCCCCCATATAACGAAACCTCCCGATATTCGGTATTTTTATAATTTTTGCCACATATTTTCGCGGATTGGTCTAAAAATTGGTATTTGTAGGTCATAATGGGTTCTAGCTCCGTTGGCGAAACACTGCTTGTGTAGATCCGCGATTTGGTATAGCCCCCATATAACGATACCTCCCAATATTCGGCATTTTAATGGTTGTTGTCCCATTTCTTCTAATGTTTCCTTTACCCTAAGGTGGAGGTTATTCAAAGTTCGGCCAGGCCGAACTTACTGTTTTTTTACTGGTTACATTTTCACATGTCTCAAATAAATTATCGGAAGTAGACGATATAGTCCAAATCTGGTACGTCGCAATATTTATATCATTTTTATTTAGGTCCGGTACGAAATGGACAATATTGACCTATTCCTTAGGAACCTACTTCATAGAGGGTCAACAATTTGATTAACCATAACAAAAATCAAAATATATTTAAATAATCGAGCATTGGCAGAGGGTATACCTTTGTCGGTTAAACCAACTGATACTTTTTAACTTTTGTTACTGGCTTTATAGTTTTGAACCTAGACTGGTAATGATACTGACCTACATTTCGCATAGAACATTTGCTTCAGTGCACAAAGGAGAACTTTATTTAATAATATTTTACTAGACTTTAGGTGTAACTTGACACATACATTCACCATGTTTTTTTTAAATCCAAAGCCTGATTGACAAACATTTTTGAGAGTGACTTCTTCTCCCCAAAAATCTAGAGAAGAGGGATATTTTATCTCTTTTTCCGTAGAAAATATCCGTCTACAAAATTTCTTAATAAATTTCTTTCTTATCTATATTCCATCTGTTCCAATTTTGTACTTTAGGCACATGTATTTAAAGAAATAAAAATTTCCAAATTTTAAATTACAACAAAATGTGCTTATACCGGCAACAAAATCATAAAATCAATTTACATATGTACATGAAATTTATTCCATGGAAATTTATGTTTGTGCTTTATTATTTTCTTTCTTCTTTGTCATTTGCCGCATAAAAACAAATAAATTAAAAAAAAAGACGGGAAAAATGCAAAAATACTCAACCGACGAAGGATGCCAGGGAAAAATTATTTTAAACGTGAAAACCCCCAAAAAGAGACACGCAAAGTAAACACATAAATTATGGCTCATTAACAAACCATTAAAAATGTACTCACATTGACACACACATATATACATGTAGATATGGATGTGTGTGAATGGCAATGGTAAATTGTGCGGTGGCAGTAAGCAATGTGTAAATCGGAGTAAATACAGGACTATACCAAATTTCAATTATGGAACGGAATTTAATGGAAAATGGATAATGGAGTGTGTTATTATTGACAGCATGATAATTATGGAGAGATTTTAGTTCTTTAAAAACTTCAAGAGACCATCTTAAGGCAATAGACGAGCGCAAGGTCTTCTATAGGCAATAGACGAGTTCAAGGTCTTCTATAGGCAATAGACGACCTCAAGGTCTTCCATAGGCAATAGACGACCTCAAGGACTTCTATAGGCAATAGACGACCTCAAGGTCTTCTATAGGCAATAGACGACCTCAAGGTCTTCCATAGGCAATAGACGACCTCAAGGTCTTCTATAGGCAATAGACGACCTCAAGGTCTTCTATAGGCAATAGACGACCTCAAGGTCTTCTATAGGCAATAGACGAGCTCAAGGACTTCTTTAGGCAATTGATGACCTCAAAGTCTTCTATAGGCAATAGACGGCCACAAGGTCTTCTATATACAAGAGACGACCTCAAGGTCTTCTATAGACAAGAGATGACCTCAAGGTCTTCTATAGACAAGAGACGACCTCAAGGTCTTCTAAAGACAAGAGACGACCTCAAGGCGACCTCTATAGGCAATAGACGACCTCAAGGTCTTCTATAGGCAATAGACGAGCTCAAGGACTTCTTTAGGCAATTGACGACCTCAAAGTCTTCTATAGGCAATAGACGGCCACAAGGTCTTCTATAGGAAATGGACGACCTCAAGGTCTTCTATAGACAAGAGACGACCTCAAGGCGACCTCTATAGGCAATAGACGACCTCAAGGTCTTCTATAGGCAATAGACGAGCTCAAGGACTTCTTTAGGCAATTGACGACCTCAAAGTTTTCTATAGGCAATAGACGGCCACAAGGTCTTCTATAGGAAATGGACGAGCTCAAGGTCTTCTATAGGCAACAGACGACCTCAAGGTCTTCTATAGGCAATAGACGACCTCAAGGTCTTCTATAGGCAATAGACGACCTCAAGGTCTTCTATAGGCAATAGACGACCTCAAGGTCTTCTATAGGCAATAGACGAGCTCAAGGTCTTCTATAGGCAACAGACGACCTCAAGGTCTTCTATAGGCAAGAAACGACCTCAAGGTCTTCTATAGGCAAGAAACGACCTCAAGGTCTTCTATAGGCAAAAGACGACCTCAAGGTCTTCTATATACAAGAGACGACCTCAAGGTCTTCTATAGACAAGAGACGACCTCAAGGTCTTCTATAGACAAGAGACGACCTTAAGGTCTTCTATAGACAAGAGACGACCTCAAGGTCTTCTATAGACAAGAGACGACCTCAAGGTCTACTATAGACAAGAGACGACCTCAAGGTCTTCTGTAGACAAGAGACGACCTCAAGGTCTTCTATAGGCAAGAGACGACCTCAAGGTCTTCTATAGGCATTAGACGACCTCAAGGTCTTCTATAGGCAATAGACGACCTCAAAGTCTTCTATAGGCAATAAACGACCTCAAGGTCTTCTATAGGCAATAGACGACCTCAAGGTCTTCTATAGGCAATAGACGACCTCAAGGTCTCCTATAGGCAATAGACGACCTCAGAGTCTTCTATAGGCAATAGACGACCTCAAGGTCTTCTATAGGCAATAGGCGACCTCAAGGTCTTCTATAGGCAATAGACGAGCTCAAGGTCTTCTATAGATAATAGGCAAGCTCAAGGTCTTCTATAGGCAATAGACGACCTCAAGGTCTTCTTTAGGCAATAGACGACCTCAAGGTCTTCTATAGACAGTAGACGACCTCAAGGTCTTCTGTAGGCAATAGACGAGCTCAAGGTCTTCTATACGCAATAGACGACCTCAAGGTCTTCTATAGGCAATGGACGACCTCAAGGTCTTCTATAGGCAATAGAAGACCTCAAGGTCTTCTGTAGGCAATAGGCTACCTCAAGGTCTTCTATAGACAATAGACGACCACAAGGTCTTCTATAGGCAATAGACGACCTCAAGGTCTTCTATGGACAATAGAAGAGCTCCAGGTCTTCTATGGACAATAGAAGACTTCCAGGGCTTCTATAGAGGATAGAAAACATCCAGGTCTTCTATAGACAATATAAATCCTCCAGGTCTTCTATGGACAATAGAAGGCCTCCAGATCTTCTATGGACAATAGAAGAGCTCCAGGTCTTCTATGGACAATAGGAGACCTCCAGGTCTTCTATGGACAATAGAAGACCTCCAGGATTTCTATGGACAATAGAAGACCTCCGGACTTCTATAGAGGATAGAAAACATCCAGGTCTTCTATGGACAATATAAATCCTCCAGGTTTTCTATAGACAATAGAATACCTCCAGGTCTCCTATAGACAGTAGAATACCTCTAGGTCTTCTATAGACAATAGAAGACTTTTGGGTCTTCTATAGATAATAGATTACCTCATAGTTATTTATAGACAATAGAAGATCACCGGGTCATCTATTGAAAATATTCTATGCTCAATAGAATGTCTCCAGGTCTTCACTAGGCCTCAGGGTCTTCTGTAGGCAATAGAAATCATCCAGGTCTCAATCTATTCTAAATCCTGTTTGAACACTTCAATTTCTGTCACACATCATCTGAATCAATTTGCAAATGACATGCTTTGTCACACCCATTGGAAATCGGTGTCAAAGTAAATAAATAAACACACACAGCTTCATTTATATGTATTGTTATTTAGAACCAACTATTTGTTACAACATTGATTACAATTTAATTAAAATTAATAAAACAAGAGAATAAAAAGATATGCATATTACACTTTTTGTTACATGCAAAGCATATTTGTTTATATGTAAAAAAATAAAATCAATGTTTTTTTTCAGAAGGGACACAGGGTATGACCGCAATTCTCTGCCCATTTTTGGTTAGCGAATATGGTGAAGCAGAAACCCAATCAACCCAGGTAAACTGATACGGGAACTGGTTGAGGGAGCTGATGATCGGATATGGATGCAGTTTGCTTGACTACCAATCGAATCAAAGTTTTTGCAATTGATGATGTCATTTTTTGTTTTTGTTTTGTGAAATCGATAGCCGGAAATATGTTGGTTCTGCAAAATAAAGAGAAATAAAAGGAAAATAAATATTTTTTTACATATGAACTTTATATTTAATTATATATTTGTATAGTTTAAATAACAATGTATCTGATAATATACTACGAATAAGACATAAATTGCTAATTATAACTAAAAAAAAGTAAGCAGAAACTATAGTCCTGCGGGGCCGACCATTTGATACCCTACAGCCCTACAATAAGTTAGAAGCCCCCTTACGTCCAAACCCATTTTGAAAAATTTCGTTAGATGCCCAGATGTTACCGTTAGGCATTTGACCGGGGCATTTGCCCAATATTTACTCACTACGTCGTGTTGTCAGATATTCAAAACAATTTCACACTAAAATTGTGGTCCATTATCCGAAATGCTCGACATCTTCCCTGTCCTTAACCTCTTCTCATGCAAAATTCCGTGTCTATTGGTTTTCAATTGTGACCTGTAGAGTGACGGAAAAAAATCAGGAAAATTTTCCTTTTTTGTCCATTTGAACCCCATGTACATCTTCAAAAACAATGTGCTTTAATTCTGAACCTAGCCCTACCCCTATGCCAAATTTCGTTATGATCAGACGATAATTGTGACCTGATATAATATCCTCAAGAAAAACTTTATGTACAATTCAAAATTGTAAATCAAATTGAAAATATCGCATGCGATAAAAAAATATATGACAATAATTGAAAAAATGTAACCAAAAGTGTTCACTTTTGCAGATTTTTACACAATTTTCTTAGATTTTATCATTTTCTGGGAAGAGCCCATTGCAAATTGGTGAAAATTGTTAAAATCCGTCCAACGGTACTTGACTTATAAGCGGAATAACTAACATCAATTTCATTTATATATAGATTGTTCATATTTCGCTACATATCCGATATCTTGGCTAACAGGATCACTGTAATGGTCAGTAGTGACCTTTAAATTTGTGGTTTGACCGGCATTAAAAATATTCGCTGTTTATTGGAAATTTTCGTATTTTTGACATAAAAATTATGGTCTGTTTTGCCCGCAAAATATTGTCCGATGACCAAACAAAATATTAGGCTTCTTCCCACCCCTTAACTTTAGCCCCATGCTTAATTCCGTGTTGATCGGTGTATAATTGCCACCTGTAGAGCACCTGCAAAATCAGAAAATGTTTCGATTTTTTGTCCATTTCAACCCTTAAATATTTTTTGGATCATCTCCAAAATCAATTGGGTTCTATTCTGAACTTAACTGCACCTTCATTCTAAATTTCGAGGATCGGGCCATAATTGTGACCTGTAGCGTGATTACAATTTAACATGGGCAGACGGACTCGGCAAGATGGGATTTTCCTATATAAATAGTTTCCTATGTCGGCGACTAATATTGCAAGGTGTTACATAATTGTATAACACTCCCAACACATAGTGTTGTAGGGTATGAAAATTAAAAAGTAAAAAAGCTGTAATTTCGGTCGGGCCGAACTTTTAATATCCTCCACCATTTTGTACAAATTTGGTAATTTCAAAAAAAAAAATAAATAAATAAATAAAATCCGTTAAAAATTCTGTTAAAATCTTAAAAATACCGTATGCCCATACGACAACGTGGACCTGCATAGGCAACTTTTGTCATAAGTTATTACAATATTTAAATGCGAAACTTGAAGAAAAATCATCAAAATACCGAATATAGGGGTTACCGTTATATGGGGGCTATACGAAGACGTGGACCTGCACAGACAATTTTCTGGTATGGTCTGAAGTATCTATTACGAACTTCACATGCGACATTTGAAACAATCCCGGTAAATAATGTCGTTTAAATCATCAAAATACCGAATATCGGGGGTACGGTATATGGGGGCTATACGAAAACGTGGACCAACATGGCCCATTTTCTGTTTTATGCTGCAGTATCTATTACGAACTTCAAATACCAAATTTGGAACGATTCCGTTAATAATAATCGCTAAAATCATCAAAATACCGAATATCGGGGGGTACCATTATATGGGGGCTATATGATAACTTGGACCTACATGGCTCATTTACGAACTTAACCTGCCTACTGGCAAAATATACATGTGTGCAAAATTTTAGCCTTCTATCTCAATTTGTTCGAAAGATAGCGTGATTACAAGAGACAGACAGACGGACGGACATGGCTGAATCGTCTTTGATTTTTACACTGATATATATACTTTGTTGGGTCTGACATGAGTATTTCGAGGAGTTACAAACGGAATGACAATATTAATATACCCTCCCTCCATAGTATGGTGGAGGGTATAAAAAGTGTAAATTTAAAATTTTTCTTTGCCTTATATCTCCGAAAATTCTCCATAAAGTAATTGACATAAAATCAAAATTACATAATTTCAATTGTGCATCTCTACCCGCATCTGCTCTACAGATATTTCACATTATATCACGTCGTAATTTTTCTACAACAATTGACAACAAAAATCTTACCACTAAAAGCTCTCAGCTTATACTCACAATTATTGTTAACGAAAATGAAAAACGAAAACCATAACAAAATGGTAAAATACTATCAAAATAAGTTTTGTTTGTTGTTACTGCAAGCTCTTATTACTTCGCACTTGAACAAAAGTGCGAAATTGTTTCACTTGTTGTCGCCAGCTGCCGCTCCAGTTTGTATGGGATTTTTGGTAATGATGCCCTTGACTTTGGCCTTATTGCTGGAGGTGCCATCGATGTGTTTCTTTTTAACTGCAACGAAAACAAAAACAAGACAAGATAAAAACAGAGACGAAATAAAAATCAAATCAAATAGAAATTGAAAGCAACATTAAATGAAATGGTCAATACAAACAAATAATAAAAATGAATGCGAGATGGACGAACAAAAAAAAAACTGGTGTCTTTTTGCAAATAATTGTATAGTTAATAAATCTATTTGTTTATTTATTATATATTTTTTGCATTATTTTTTATTTCTTATTCTGCAGCGCTGGTGTTATTGGCATTTACAGTGTTTGTCTGTCTAAGTAGCCATTACACAAGTTTACATCAAATCGAAAAAATCGTACAGATGTCTGAGGGATATCTCAAACACCCGTATTTGAATTATGTAATTTTTTGAAGTACATTCGCTTGGTCAAATTTAAGTTCTTCAAAAGTTTTTGATATATACAGGGTGAGATAAAAAAAAAACTGCAACAAAGTCGAACGCCATAATTTTTACATATTTGCTTTAATTTTATTGAATGAAAAGAAAAAATGTCGGAAATAGCATCCGATCTTAGAATAAGTTTAGATTTGTTCGAATTAGTCACCATTGGCACGAATAATGGCATTCAAACGGCCAATGAAACCGTCACACGCTGCCCGAATGTTGCTCTGCGATATTTTGGCCCATTCCCGGCGAAGTGCTTGCTTAAGGTGATCGACACTTTGGTATTTTCTAGTACCAACCTTGCTTTTCAAAATACTCCAGACACAATAGACCAACGGATTGGTATCCGGAGATTTTGGTGACCATTGTGCACTGGATATGAAACGAGGGACCTCATTTCGTAAGTATTCTTGCCTGACGCGTGCTGAGTGTCATAGTGCTGATTCCTGTTGGAATGTCCAAGGTCTGCGGCCAAAATATTTGCGTACTCAAGGCTTTAATACACCCTCCAGAATATTTTCGCGATAATATCCGGCATTTATTCTGATGCCACGGTCGATTAATACGAGAGGCAAGTAAACACGATTATTTGGTTCGTTTATAAACTGCTGGACAACGAATGTTTTCTCATCGGGAAAACCAAATTCGGCAGTTCACCACTTTCGGCCAAGCGAAGCAACTTTTTAGCTCTTTTGAGTCTATTTTCTTTCTGTTGTGGTGTAAGTTCTTGAACCTTTTGGAATTTCAATGGCTTTACCCCGAACTCATTTTTCAATATTTGCCGAATAGAATATTGCGATATGTTCAGCTCATGAGCCATTTCTGCTGAGGTTGCTGTTTTCTTCCGTCCACTTTCTTGACGTCGGGCTAGCTACCAGCATCACAGTAACGAGCGATGGTACGAGACACAAAATATTTATTCACATTTAAATGCTGGAGTGCTCTAACGACTGTCACTTGTGGTTTTCCATTTGTCGGACTAGTGGCTTAGAAATTACACCAGTATGAAGTTGGTTGCAGTTTTTCCATCTCATTCTGTATATATATTCATTATCGGCATAAAATACTAAGTCGATTTAAGGATGTCTGTGTCTAGGATGGTTGGTATTGAAAATGAGGTATATCTCCACGTTTTGGTATAGTCCCCATAAAACGGTACCTCCGATATTCGGTATTTCGATGATTTTTGCCACATTTTTTCAGGGATTTGTCAAAAAACTGGTATTTGTAGGTCATAATGAATTCTAGCTCCGGTCTACGGTTTTGTGTAGCCCCCATATAACGGGACCTGCCGATATTCGGAGTTTTTTACATTTTTCCACGGATTTGTCTAAACTTTGGTATTCGTAGTACATATTGAATATTGAATATTTAGTTCCACGTTTTTCTATAGCGCGCATATAACGATACCCACCGATATTCGTTATTTTTATAATCCTAGTCACATTTACCCACGAAATTGTTTCAAATTTCCTGAAAATCCCTGAAGTATGAAATTTTCTATAGAGGTTACCGTTTTGGTATGGCCTCCATATAACGGTCCAACCCATTTAAACAGCATTATCCAAATGGTCTTACTGGTATTTGTATTTTAAAATTGAACGCTTTTGAATTCAGATACTTTTATAAAAAAAATGCTTTCTTTACCCAATGGTGGATGTTATATTAAAAGTTTGGGCCGGCCGAACTTAATGTTTTTTTATTTGTTAGGCTCTACTTTCATAATCTGCTGGATTTTTTTCTATAATTGTTTTTTTATGCACAATGCCTGAGCGTATTTTCCTTTGGGCATTATCTAGTTTTTCAAAAGTGTTTGTTATATATATTTTCCCTCTTTTCGATTTTGAAGCATCTACCCTCAATTGAAAAAATAATTGTAAGTCTGTGTCATTGTCCGTCGTCCGAACGACTGTCTGGCAATTTGGTTGGTTAGTTATTTGAATTGAGGTTATTTGTACAGGAATTTATGAAGGTTTTTTTTTCGAATTTATGTATCTTTTCTTGTTTTTTTTTTTTTTTTTTTTTTTTTTTTTTTTTTTTTGTTATTTTTTATTTCTTTGTCCTGCTTGTTTTGCTATTTTTTAGAAGATATTTACTCGCAGTTTTGCTGCGGACAAATAATCATGATTTATTTCAAAGAATTCATTCATTTTCTGGTCTTTTATGCTCTGTCATAGATTTGTTGTTTTCACAATACTGTTGTTGTTGTTGTTTCTTTTTTGTCTAAGCGACAAGTTCTCCCCATAGCATCGCCTTTGGGCTGGGTTAATGTTAAATGTTGTTACACTTGCTAGCTGCCTGAGTGACTGGCTGCTGGCTGGCCGGATGGTTGTCTGTCTAGTTGGTGGGTTGGTTAGTTGTTGGCTTAATGCTTGAATATCGTTTGTCGTTTGCGCTATGTCGTTTATTTCGATTCAATATTCGATGGAATATATTTTTGCTTCTCTGTGTGGGTTGCTACTGCCATTCTATTTGGCATAATGGTAATACCTTTTACTGCGAAAAGTTGCTGACAATAACAATGGTAAATGAAACTATTATTGTTGTTGTTGTTTTTATTGTCCTACATTACTGGTTGTTCCGATTTACACTTGTTTGTATCAGAATTGGAAATTGTCATTAGCTGAAGTGGCTGCAATAACTACTTGGATTTACCATTTTCTATAGAAAAATAAAAGTCGAAGGCATTCGGACTAATTGGAGTCAAAATAGACAAAATGAAGGGTGTTCAAGTCTTAAAGACTAGACTTAGAGAAGGGCTGTTGTGGGTCTTTATAAACAAGTCGAATTGAATTGGATCTTTATAGACCATCTAAAGCGGGTCTCTCTATAGACCATCTAAAGCTGGTCTCTCTATAGACCAGCTGAAGCAGATCTCTCTATAGACCAGCTGAAGCAGGTCTCTCTATAGACCAGCTGAAGCGGGTCTCTCTATAGAACAGTTGAAGCGGGTCTCTCTATAGAACAGTTGAAGCGGGTCTCTCTATAGACCAGCTGAAGCGGGTCTCTCTATAGACCAGCTGAAGCGGGTCTCTCTATAGACCAGCTGAAGCAGGTCTCCCTATAGACCAGCTGAAGCTGGTCTCTTCATAGACCAGCTGAAGCTGGTCTCTTCATAGACCAGCTGAATTGGATCTTTATAGACCATCTGAAGCGGGTCTCTCTATAGACCAGCTGAAGCGGGTCTCTCTATAGACCAGCTGAAGTGGGTCTCTCTATAGACCAGCTTAAGCGGGTCTCTCTATAGACCAGCTGAAGCGGGTCTCTCTATAGACCAGCGGAAGCGGGTCTCTCTATAGACCAGCTGAAGCAGGTCTCCCTATAGACCAGCTGAAGCAGGTCTCTTCATAGACCAGCTGAATTGGATCTTTATAGACCATCTGAAGCGGGTCTCTCTATAGACAAGCTGAAGCGGGGCTCCCCATAGACCAGCGGAAGCGGGTCTCTCTATAGACCAGCGGAAGCGGGTCTCTCTATAGACCAGCTGAAGCGGAGCACTCTATAGACCAGCTGAAGCAGGTCTCTCAATAGACCAGCTGAATCGGAGCTCTATATAGACCAGCTGAAGCGGAGCTCTCTATAGACCAGCTGAAGCAGGTCTCTCAATAGACCAGCTGAATCGGAGCTCTCTATAGACCAGCTGAAGCGGAGCTGTCTATAGCCCAGCTGAAGCGGAGCTCTCTATAGACCAGCTGAAGCAGGTCTCTATAGACCAGCTGAAGCGGAGCTTTCTATAGACCAGCTGAAGCGGAGCTCTCTATAGACCAGCTGAAGCTAGTCTCTCTATAATCCAGCTAAAGCGTGTCTCTCTATAGACCAGCGGAAGCTGGGAGACCACCGGAAACGGGTCTTTCATAGACCAGCTGAAGCGGGTCTCTCATAGACCAGCTTAAGCGGGTCTCTTATAGACCAGCAGAAGGGGGTCTCTCTATAGACCTGCTGAAGCGGGTCTCCCTATAGATCTGCTGAAGCGGGTCTCTATATAGACCTGCTGAAGAGGTCTCTTTATAGACCAGCTGAAGCCGATCACTCTGTAGACCAGCTGAAGCGTGGCTCTGTATAGACCAGCTGAAGCAGAGTTTCTAAAGACCAGCTGAAGCGGAGCTCTCTATAGACCAGCTGAAGCTAGTCTCTCCATAATCCAGCTAAAGCGTGTCTCTCTGTAGACTAGCGGAAGCTGGAAGACCACTTGAAACAGGTCTTTCATAGACCAGTTGAAGCGGGTCTCTCATAGACCAGCTGAAGCGGGTCTCTCATAGAAGACGTCCTTAAGGTCTTGTATGAAGTCGTCCTGCAACTCGTCTATAGTGACGTCCTGCAGCTCGTCTGTAGAGACGTCCTGCAGCTCGTCTATAGAGACGTCCGGCAGCTCGTCTATAGAGACGTACGGCAGCTCGTCTATAGAGACGTGCGGCAGCTCGTCTATAGAGACGTCCGGCAGCTCGTCTATAGAGACGTCCGGCAGCTCGTCTATAGAGACGTCCGGCAGCTCGTCTATAGAGACGTCCGGCAGCTCGTCTATAGAGACGTCCGGCAGCTCGTCTATAGAGACGTCCGGCAGCTCGTCTATAGAGACGTCCGGCAGCTCGTCTATAGAGACGTCCGGCAGCTCGTCTATAGAGACGTCCGGCAGCTCGTCTATAGAGACGTCCTGCAGCTCGTCTATAGAGACGTCCTGCAGCTCGTCTATAGAGACGTCCTGCAGCTCGTCTATAGAGACGTCCTGCAGCTCGTCTATGGAGACGTCCTGCAGCTCGTCTATAGAGACGTCCTGCAGCTCGTCTATAGAGACGTCCTGCAGCTCGTCTATAGAGACGTCCTGCAGCTCGTCTATAGAGACGTCCTGCAGCTCGTCTATAGAGACGTCCTGCAGCCCTTTAGATCGTATATTTACTCGCAGAGAAGAGATTTTTTCAGCTTTCTTCCTTCAAAAATAGAATCCAATTTTCGGAAACGGTGTTAACACTTTTACATTCACAAGGTTACACCCAGTTTATTTTCCATTTCATTACATGCCATTCACTCGCATTGTGTGCCTCCAATTTTTCGGGTGCTGAAGTGGGTATGTAGTACCATTCTGTTGCTGCACATTCGTTTTACGTTTCGCATTAAATTTTCTCCCAAAAAATAGTCTATGTAAATGAACTTCAAGCCAACAGCTCAACAACTGTGGATGTTTATTAGATTTTATTTGCATTCAAAGCTAAATGTAATATTTTGTTCTTTTAACTTTGAATGCAAACGAAATTGTTGCGAAACTTTGTCTGATTCTATGAGAGCGAGTGTGAGTGAGTGTGTGTGCGTCGCCAAATGAATGTTCGGCTCGACTGCATTTTATTCTCTTTTCTCGGTCTCATGCAGTTTGTCGAAATTTATGTTTGTACTTCAACGGAAAAAGGAAGGTCAGCGTCAACACAGCGTAACATATATATTTTCGGGAAGGCGCGGGGATGAGATCAACAACAAAATTGAATGAAATTGGACTGAGATTTTTTTTTCTATATTTTTGGAGTGAAAAAGAAGCACCTTCAGTTCTACTTGTTCGTCATCTTGTAAAAGACCGAAAGAAGTTGGTATCCCTATTGATAAACCAAAGCGTGAAAAGCCAAAAACAGTGAGTACATCCGAGAATATTGCTGCTGTGTTAGTGAGCATGCGTGAAGCGCCATCAACATCAATTCACCGGTACCGGTTCAAGTTATCGTTATATGGGGGCTATACAAAATCACTCTAGCTTCCAAACGAAATGAAGTAGGTTGATATATTATGTCTGCAGGACTTTTGGTATTGAAAATGGGACATGTCGGTCCACGTTTTGTTATAACCCCCATATAACAGTATCGCCCAATATTCGGAACTTTGTTGATTATAGCGACATTATTCACCGGAATTGTTTCAAATTTGGTATTTGAAGTTCGTAATGGATATTACAGCCTATAACAAAAAATTGTATATGCAGGTCCAGGTCTTCGTATGGCCCAAATATATCAGTACCTCCCTTTATTCGGCAATTTGATGATTTTAGCGAACATTGTTCACCGGAATTGTTTCAAATTTGGTACTTGAAGTTCATAATGGATATCACAGCCTTTGACCGAAAGTTGTCTGTGCAGGTCCACGTTTTGGTGTAGCCCCTATTTAATAGTACCTCCCTATATTCGGTATTTTTATGAATTTAGCTGCATTATTCACCGATTTTTTCAAGTTTCGCATTTGAATATTGTAATGGCTTATGACAAAAGTTGTCCATGCAGGTCCACGTCGTCGTAAAGACCATAATATAATGGTTTTATTCGGTATTTTTAAGATTATAGCACAAATTTTAACGGTTTTTTTTTTTAATTGCCAAATTCTTTCCAAATGATGGGGGGGACTTAAAAGTTCGGAACTTACAGCTTTCTTACTTGTTTTTTTAAAGATTTGTATCACAATTTAATTGGACATTTGGGAGACATCATTGTTAAGAATTTTGAATAAGGACCTTTGTATGACACCTTACAAAGTCCAATTGGTTCAAACTTAAAATACCAAATTCCCGACAAATCCGTTGAAAAATCTGCAGAAAATTGTCAATATGCTTAAAATGACCATTTAATGCGTTTTCACTTCGCCTGAAGTAAACGACTTAAAGAAGTTGCCGATTTTTCAAAAAAATAAACCTTCATTTCAGAAGACGGGTATACAAAAAAAAAACAGAATTTTCGCATTTCCGCAGGCATACAGAGCAAAAATTTCCGTTACTGTCAATGGTAATCGTTTTCGGTCAATGTTGAAGGGCTAGAGATGGATTTGTTAGTTAGACTCATGACCGGCTGTACGGATTTTGACAATTCTCACCAAATCAGAATGGTCTTTTGGAAGAAAATAATAAATTCTAGAAAAAGCATAAAAATATGATAATACAAAATTCCTTTTTTTGTCATGTTTTTCCTTTTTTTGAGGTGTTTTTAATTTCAGTATTGAATTTTAATTTTTTTTAAATATTTTTCACCTTATATTCTGCTTGCAATGATCGTCCGATCGTTAGGAAATTTTGTTAAAATCAGAATAGAATACTTCTGTTTTGACAAATTTAGCCAAATATCGTATCTTCGATAAGTTATCAATGTTTATAAGATCATATAGAGGAATCGAAATTTTCATGTTTTGTTTCAAATGCCAATTAACAGGACATAAGGCATAAATATGAGGCAAATACTACGAAGATTTGCATGACCTCGTGGTTTCGGTCAAAAGCCACGATAAAACTTTGGCAGGACTATGTAACATTATTTCAAAAACAAGTAAGCAAAGGCTATAGCCGTGCGGGCCGACCATGTGATACCCTACAACACTACAATGTGTTGGAAGCCCCCTTATGTCTAAATTCATTTTGGAAGATTTCGATAGATGTTACCCTTATTTACGCCATTAAAAGCCATTGTGTATTTTACAGGTAAGTATAATCAAATAGTCATCCAATATACTCGACTTCTTTCCTCTTTCAGGAAAATGTTTTTTTTTTGCCCATTTGAACCTCTGAATTTAAATCTCCATAAAAGTAGGCTTTAATTCTCACCCTAACACTACCCCTGAAAAAATTCATGAGGATCGGACGATAATTGCGACCTGTATATAATACCTTCACTACATAGTGTTGGGGAGTGTATAAAAACTTTAAAAATTTACAATTCAAAATTGTAAGTCAAATTGAAAAAAACGCATGCGACAAAAAATATGACAAAAATGTAACAAAAAATATTCACTTTTTTTCTGGTAAGAGACCATTCTCATCTCTCTCAAATCAGTCCAGCGGTTCTTGACTTATCATCGATCTATCTAACATTCCCTTCTTTGATATATGAGATTGTATATATTTTGCTATATTTGCGAGATTGGATACGAGCAAAAATGTAGCGGTCAGAAGTGATATTTTCGTGTATTTGTGATTTTTACAAAAAAAAGTTATGGTCTCTTTTACCCGCTAAATGTGGTCCGATGTCCATCCAAATTTGTACGATTCTGCCCAGTCCTAAACTCTAATTCCATGCAAAATTAAATATTTTGCGATAATCTCCAAAAATTTTCATTTTCGTGGGTTCGGGCCATAATTGCGACCTGTAGCTTGATTACAAATTAACATGGACAGACGGACAGACAGGCAGACAGACGGACGGACGGACGGAGGGACGGGCGGGCGGACGGACATACATAGCTAGATCGACTCAGCTCGGCGAGCTAGGAAGATCCATATACTTTCCTATGTGGGTGGAAATGAATGTGAAATTTCTGTTCCTTTTGAAAGAGCAAATTAGAAACTTGTCGTAGCAGGAACATCTGCTTTTTTAGTGATCGTATGTTGTTTTGGAAAATATTGTTTCCAGATCTATAATTATTCGAAAAGAGGAGCAATTAGGTTCAACATTTGCTTTTATTATGTAAAAGGTAGGGGGTGTATCTTGGGGGAATCTTCATTCCCGTTTAAAGGGTTTCAGATCTGCAGTAATTGTGTTGTAGCATATCAAATTGTCGGCTCCACCCTTTGCTTATTTGTATTTTAAAGCATCTTCAGAAAAGCTATTTAGCGGAGCCATACTTGGTACTAAAAACTGAACGACAATGTTATACATTCAGAAAATGTTTGAATTAATATCATTTAAAAAGGTACAAAAAATAAGACATCTACCAAATAACTCTATTTTTTTCGAAACCCGGTATAATTGGTTAACAATCTAACCTTAAGGCAAATTTGTAACAATGTTTCTTATGTCAACTTTAATGTAACTTTTATAACAACAAATCTACTTTGCCGTAATAGTTTTATTTTTTGTAAATTGACTAATCCACCAAAATATAGTTTAATGACATCATCTTGACAATGAAAAACGCTTAGCTAATTACACAAACAAGCCAAACAATCAATAACGAAAATTTGCGTGGTTGCAGTTCCAACCAAGCTCTGTGTGTGTGTGCATAGCTCGAATAGGTCAATCAACCAAAACAACAATTAATGACTTAAATGCCAAAAAGAGATTCTTCAAATTAATATTAAAAAAAATAAATCAATAACAAAGCGTTTCAGTATTAGCCAAATTTGGCATCCATTGCGTGGTTACTTTAATTTCTAAAAAAAAAAAAACAAATCTCTGCAATGATTTCTAATTCCCATAAAAATTTGCCAACAATAAATGAATAACCACTTGCATGGCTTCTAGACAATATTAGCTACTTAACATAAATTCCTCGGTATTCCTCTGAAAATGCCATAATTCAATATTAAAAGATTATTCATATCTTAAATAGGGTTTTACATAATTTCCACAAAGACATTTCGAATCATTTTTCAAGTGCTTTTGAAATATGATGTATGTATGTTCGTGTGTGTGTACTTTAAAGAATACTCATAATTTATTGCCATCCTACTTACTGGTTATTAATGTATCCGGATCAGCTAGCTTCTCACTTGCACTTTTATCGTGTTCATGAACTTTTTTGCGCAATTTCTTCAAGTAGGCCTCTTTGTATTCCTCGCTTGGCTGACCGCCCAAACCATAGCTGACTTCGACGGCAGTCAATGGTATGACGGTTGAGGAGACCGGCACCAAATCTGTAGAACGAAACCACAAGAACAACAACAACAAAAGAAAACAAATGTGTGTTAGAAACAAGTTTAGCAAGATATAAGATATATAACAATAGCATTACAACAAAAAAAAAGATTTATATATTTAAAGAAAAGAAAACCAAAACAAAACAACAAAAAAACACTTGTTATGCCACATCTAAGAGAATGTCAAATTCAACAAGTTTAATCCCACGTTTAAAAAATGGCAACATATCATACACCGATGGTGTATTGCAAAAAATGGTCTAGTCTATATTTGGCAATACGAAAATAAGCTTTTCAAATGGTTTTACAACCAAAAGCTTCAATTTGGTTGGAATCATATTTAGATGTATCAGATTCTTATAGATTTATGAATCTTAGCATTTCGAAGGAGGTCTATAACAAGGGTTTTACGTAAGATATCGATTGTGGTGTTGAAGCTTATATTATTTCAGCAAGGCATAAAATATGCAAATTGAGAAATTCAAATAAATATTGCAAGATTGGGCTAGGTGAGCGAGCATACTGTATGTATGAAGCTTTGTTTTATAAAATGTTTCGACCAAATATGAAAGATGTCCGCCCATTGAGGAGCATCATTTAAAAGGCGATAAGTCGATGGCCATATAAAATCATTGAGAGTGGGGACTATAAATCATTGAGATTGGGGACTATACCAAAACTTGGACCTACATGACCCATTTTCAATACCAGAAGTCCTGCAGACATAATATACATTTGAGAAAAAATTTATCGACCTACTTCATTTCGTTCGGAAGCTAGAGTGATTTCCACAGACGGACAGACGTACGGGCATGGCCAAGTCAACATAGAATTTTATGCTAATCAAGAATATATACACTTTGTGGGGTCTAAAATTTAAATGTATATTTAATATACCCTCCATACTATCGGTCCACGTTTTAGAATAACCGCCATAAAAGGGTACCTCCACATATTCGGTATTTTGATGATTTTCGAGACATATTTCCACCCATTTGTCTAAAAATTGGTATTTGTTGGTCATATTGGGTTCTAACTCCGGTGGCGATATATTGTATGAATAGGTCCACGTTTTTGTATAGCCCCCATATAATGGTACCTCCCGATAATCGGTATTTTGATGATTTTAGAGACATTGTTCACCGAAATTGTTTCAAAATTGTAGTTTGAAGCTCGTAACTGATACTACAGCTTATAACAGAAAATTGTCTATGCACGTCCGCATTTTCGTATAGCCCCCATTTAACGCTACCTCCCGATATTCGATACTTTGATGATTTTGGGATATTATTCACCGGAATTGTTTCAAATTTGCTATTTTCAGTTCGTTATTGATACTACAGCCTACGACAGAAAATTGTCTATGCAGGTCCACATCTTCATATAGCCACCATATAACGCTACCTCCCGATATTCGGTATTTTAAAGATTTTAGCGACATTATTCACCGGATATGTTTCAAATTTGGTTTTTGAAGTTCGTAATTGATACTACAGCTTATGCCAGAAAATTGTCTATGCAGGTCCACATCTTCGTATAGCCACCATATAACGGCCCCTCCCGATATTCGGTATTTTAATGAATTTAGCAACATTATTCATCGGAAATTTTTCAAATTTGGTATTAGAAGTTCGTAATAGATACTACGGCCTATGACAGAAACTTGTCTGTGCAGGTCCACGTCTTCGTATATATCCCATATAATGTTACCTCCCGATATTTGTTTATTTGATAAATTTAGAGACATTATTCACCGGAAATTTTTCAAATTTGGTATTTGAAGTTCGTAATAGATATTACAGCCTATGACAGAAAATTGCCTGTGCAGGTTCAGGTTTTGGAATAGCCCCATATAATAACACAATAATCACAGATTTTTATACCCTCCACCAAAAAAGTCGAAATAATCATTTTAGACCCAACAAAGTATATATATTCTTGATCAGCGTAAAATTCTAAGACGATTTAGCCCTGTCCGTCCGTCTGTCCGTCTGTTGTAATCACGCTACAGTCTAAACGAATTAAGATAGGAAGCTAAAATCTTGCACAGATCTCTCTTTTGTCTGCAGGCAGGTCAAGTTCGAAGATGGGCTATATCGGTCCACGATATCGTATCGCCCCCATATAACGGTACCCCCGATATTCGGTATTTTGATGATGTTAGCCACATTTTTCAATGGAATTGTCTGAAAATCCACACAAGTAGTTCCTTGTGGGTACTTTATACCTCAGCAGAGAATTATCTATATAGGTCCACAATATCGTGTAGCCCCCATATAACGTACCCCCCGATATTCGGTATTTTGATGATTTTACCCACATTTTTCAATGGAATTGTCTGAAAATCCACACAAGGAGTTCCTTGTGGGTACTTTATACCTCGGCAGAGAATTGTCCATACAGGTCCACGATATCGTATAGCCCCCATATAACTGTAACCCCTGATATTCGGTAATTTGATGATGTTAGCCACGCTTTTCAATGGAATTGTCTTAAAATCAACACCCTGAGAGAGAGTTGTCTATACAGGTCCACGATATCGTATATCCCCCAATTAACGGTACCCCCGATATTCAGTATTTTGATGATTTTACCCACATTTTTCAACGGAATTGAAAGAAAATCCACACAAGGAGTTCCTTGTGGGTACTTTATACCTCGGCAGAGAATTATCTATATAGGTCCACAATATCGTGTAGCCCCCATATAACGGTACTCCCCTATATTCGGTATTTTGATAATTTTAGCCACTTTTTCCAATGGAATAATCTGAAAATCCATACAAGGAGTTCCTTGTGAGCACTTTACACGCAGACATAGATTTGTCTTTATAGGTCCACAATATCGTACATCCCCCCATATATCGGCACCTTCCTATATTAGATATTTTAAAGACTTTAAAAGAATTTTTATTGGATTTTATTTTTTTGGAAATTTTCTAATTCGTTCCAAATGGTCGCATTTGAATATTGTAATGGCTTATAACAAAAGTAGCATATGCAGGTCCACGCCGTCGTACAGACACTAACACTTATTATTATTATTATTATTATTATTATTATTATTATTATTATTATTATTATTATTATTATTATTATTATTATTATTATTATTATTATTATTATTATTATTATTATTATTATTATTATTATTATTATTATTATTATTATTATTATTATTATTATTATTATTATTATTATTATTATTATTATTATTATTATTATTATTATTATTATTATTATTATTATTATTATTAGTATTATTATTATTATTATTGAAAATTCCAAAATAACATGTTTCATTCAAAAAACCTTTATAAGATCATTCATTTGGAAAATATATCCCTACATATTATACATTTTAATAAAAATCCGTAAATTCTTCTAAAAACAATTATCTACCTGAATTTTCACTTGAAATTTCATCCGCCTTCATTCACCACAAATCCGTACCCGATTTACTTCAAATTCCCCAATTAAAGGAAACCATAACCCTTTGACAAATATGGCACCTCAATGTAACACTGCCTTTACACGGTGCAATTTTTAGTTGGCATTTTTATCAATTCTCTTTTAAAATTTCTGCGTAAATCGTCGCGCCTTTACACGGTGGCATTTTACTTGGCATTTTTTCTGACATTTTATTTTATTAGGTATTTCGTATAGAGCTGTATTGTTGTGCTAATTGTTTCACATATTGTCACATATTTATTAAAATTATTAACTTTTATTTTAACTTTCTTTTTTTTTTACTTTTTAAAACAATTTACTTAAAACGATCACTAAACACATCACAATAAAAGAAACGCATCAAAAATTACAATAAAGAAACGATATGAAATGTCAAAATCATAAAAAATTCGGAAGAAGCAAAAAGAGAAATGCAAAGAAAATTGCATGTAACCCTGTGCGGTGGCTTATCGTGCCATTTTTTCTTCTATCCTTGTCTCTCTACACCTTTTACCAACAAAAAAAAATGGCATGGTTAAAAAATGTCACCGTGTAAAGGCAGTGTAACCCTATTTAAGGAAAACATAATTCCACAACACCCCCCTCCCACCATACCTACATTCCCATTTATCCACATACACACACATAGATACATAATTGTTTACACAAACCTCTTTCAAATTTATCGTCCGGATTGCGTTTGTACATCATGGGAGTTGAGCAAACATAATTGCACATTAGCGTCACGACAACGGCAACGATGACAATTAAATGCCTGTAGAAAATATTACTTTTGATTTCTTTCATCTTTGGAGCGTGTTACTAGCTGCTAACCGGCTGCTACTGTTGTTGGTACTTGGCTGGTGCTGCTGTTGTTGTTTATTTTGTTTGGTTTTTTCGTTTTTGTTTGAGTTTTGATTTTCTGATGTTTAATGGTTTTTAGTTTGGTTTGGCGTTTTGTATTTTCAAGGGATCGTTGTGGTCGTCTACATGAAAAGCCGCATGCGAAAATCAGCAGTTGTTGCTGGTTGGTGGTTATTGTATTTAAATATTTTTTTTTTTTCGGAGCCCGCGGAGTGCAGTGATTTGTTGACTTTTTATTTTGCGATATTTTTTGTTGTTGCTGTTATTTTAAATATTTACAAAATTTGATTGTTGATCAAACAATTCATTACAGGGAAATTTGCAAAACTTTTTTCTATTTGATTTACTTTTGTTTGAACTGAAAATTTCTGCTGTGATGCCCGCTGTTAATGCAATGTACGGCACCCCACTAGCTGATGCTTGTCGTTTTCGTTTGGCAATTTGATTGAATGAACAGAACACTATTCACACACCCAGCTACCGGCAACTGTTGGTGGTAAAAAATGCGAAACTAAGTTTGAAAACAAAACACTAAATTGCGATCAACGCTTCTAAGCGTCTAACTTGTTTAAAAGCTTTTGTTTAACTGAACTCTTTGCATTTGTGGCATGTGTCTTTAAGCCTTGGCCAAGAGTTGGGCATAAAAAAGCTTTCGATTCGCTTTTTGCAAACAACAATGACATGTCTCAGCTATTAAAACAATCTCTAAAAGTGATCATAAATAAAAGCGAAATTGCTGCTATGCTGCTTAGAAAATCTAGAAGTTGACTTTTTCAGCCAGCATGCTGGGCCATAAGACAATACGTAATTATTTTGCAAATGTAACACACACACACACATATTTAATGGTGTCCGTTTCGATAAAAATCTGTGGTAATTTATTTGAGAATGTCAAATATGTGTTAAATGGTTAATTAATACTCAACACGATAGGAGTCGAGTAGAACAATTATTTTTTTCAAACTTCTTGCATGTTAATTTATTCAATTCCTAATTGAATTTCTATTTCTGTCCTGTTTTTAATGTGATTTTACATGTTCTGAATTTTTGTTACGATTGTCAAGTTAATTGAAACCTAAGATATCTGCTCACGACCCAGGAGTCGTAGTCACGAACAATTTAAAATATTTGTAAATCAATTGTGTTATACTTAAATACATTGAAACATTTAAATAGATTTGAAACATAAATTGCGCATTATAAATTGTTGTTATCTCCATAAATTTTAAATGTGTGGCATTCTATGGACACAAGACTTTTAATAGGTCTTCGGCAGGTTGAAAAAATTGTTATACATTAAATTCTATGTCGATTTAACGATGTCTGTCCGTTTGTCTGGCTGTCCGTTTGTGGAAATCACTCGAACGTCCGAACAAATTGAAGTAGATGGATAATATTTTACCCAAATGTGTGCTTGGTCTGCAGAACGTTTGGTATTGAAAATGGGCTACATAGGTTCACGTTTAGATACAGTCCTCATAACTATAACTTAACTATACAGGATGAGAGAAAAAAAAACTGCAACAAAGTCAAACGTCATAATTTTTAATTTTTTTATTATATTTCGGTCGGAAATAGCATCAAATTTTGGAATAAGTTCAGATTTGTTCGAATTGGTCACCTTTGACAAAAATTATGGCTTTCAAACGGCCAATGAAACCGTCGCACGCTGCCCGAATGTTGCTCTGCGGTATTTTGACCCATTCCCGGCGAAGCGCTTGCTTGAGGTGATCGACACTTTGCTATTTTTTAGTGCCAACCTTGCCTTCAAATATACTTCAGACACAATAGTCCAACGGATTGAAGTTTTTTTTTTGTGGCCATTGTACGCTAATAATAAAGCGAGGAACCTCATTTTGTAATCATTCGTGGGTGGCGCGTAGTGCGATGGTGCTGAGTCCTGTTGGAATGTCCAAGGTCTGCGGCGAAAATGTTTGCGTGCCCAAGGCTTTAATACACCCTCGAGAATATTTTCGCCATAATATTCGGCACTTATTCTGATGCCACGGTCAATTAATATGAGCGGGGAGCGATTTTCGGCTGTTATGGCGGCCCCCACCATCACCATAGCCGGCGCTTGAGTTCTGGTGGCCAATCGAAGGTGCACATTCTCAGCTGAACTCCTTGGCAAGTAAACACGATCATTTTGTTTGTTTAGAAACTGCTAGACAACAAATTTTTTCTCATCGGAGAAAACAAAATTCGGCAGTTCACCACTTTCGGCCAAGCGAAGCAACTCTTTACCTCTTTTGAGTCTATGTTCTTTCTGTTGTGGTGTAAGTTCTTGCACTTTTAAGAATTTCAATGGATTTACCCCGAACTCATTTTTCAATATTTGCCGAATAGAATATTGCGATATGTTCAGCTCACGAGCCATTTTTCGGCCACTGTGACGCGGGTTTCGATCAAGTCGCTTCTTTACTTTTCGAACCATTTCTGCTGATCTTGCTGTTTTCTTCCGTCCACTTCCCTGACGTCGGGCTACGCTAACAGTATCACGGTAACGAGCGATGGTACGAGACACAAAAGATTTATTCACATTTAAATGCTGGAGTGCTCTAACGATAGCCACTTGTAGATGTCCAGCACTATCACGCTTGAATTCCATTACGAATAATTTTTTTTTCTGGAAAATGCTCACCAAAATGCTTTTGTACGCTTGTAAAGAATATAATGAGCTGTCACTGGAAAAATTTTAACAGCTGTCGAACGAGCGGCTTGGAACTGACAGCAGTCTGAAGTTGGTTACTGTGTTTTCATCTCACCCTGTATTTAGTACAATTTGGTATTAGGTGAACAGGTAGTGCTTGACCTGAAATTTGGTATTGGGGTCGCGGTTCATGTGTAGTCTGGACACATGGAAATGGTTTCGGAAACTACAATTGTACGAAAAGTACTAAATGGTAGCATATTTAATATTGGGTGAAAAGATAGGGCTGGAATCCTGAAATTTGATATGGATGTTGACTGTTGGTGTCTGTGGTTGCGACAAGGAGCTGGTTTTAAATATGCTTACTATGTTTGACATTAACATATATATATATATATATATATATATATATATATATATATATATATATATATATATATATATATATATATATATATATATATATATATATATATTTGGAAATTAAAGAGCTGGAATCCTGCAATTTGATATTAAGGTCGCTGTTGGTATAACAGTACGGAAAAAAACTAAATGCTACTAAATTTGGTTTTGGGTGTTGGAATAGAAAGAGAATTCTTAAATCTTGTATCGAATTCACTGTTGGTATCTAATATAGTGATGTTTAGTACATTTATTACACTTTTTGTTCGAATTAAAAAAAAAAACTTTAGTGCAACTATTCTACACCCCATCAGCGACCTACATCCCAAATTACAGGATTCTGTCTCTATCCGTTTGACTAAAACAATGGGTCCAATTTTAATACCTTTTAGTATTTTTAGTACACTTACAGAATAAATAGTATCCTATGTCCGTCTCCTGACTCTAAGCTACCTGCTCGCCATATCAGTAAAGGCGTTCTTATAAAAGTTTTGATTAAATTCTTTACCATCTTGCGTCGTTGGCCGATTATACATTAATTTCTGTGGTAATAACAGTAAATCCTTAGTGAAGTAATAACTCTATTCTAAAACTTTCTCCGAAAAGTAGACGTTTTACAGATTTTCTATAGGAAGAAGACATTTTTATATCATTTCTTACTTAAAGACTTTCTTAACGGTCTCCTATAGATAGAACCCCGTCAAAAGGTCTTCCTCTTTGGTGTAGAACCTTTCCCTACTTTTCCCGCATACAAATTGAGGTCTTTAATATTACAAATGTAATACGAGCTGATAAAACACCTTCTTATTTATTTAATTCTCAACTATTAAATTAATTCCCATCACATACTTGCCAAACACACACAAAAATAAATAAATATACAACAACAAAAAATATTACCATTCTTATAATTGCGCACCTTACTTCTAATGCCGGAATGTTTGTTTTTGGGTTTTCCTTTCACAAACACATTTATTTCAGTCAAAACCCAAACAATTCTCACGCACTCACCCAGCGCCCACAACAACAAGAACAGCAGCAATAACAACTCCTGCAATTTTAATCTCATCGCTTACAGATACTTGGATGGATTTTCGTATATTTATCCTTATTTATATAATGGACGTGTGTGTGTTTCCGATACACACAAACACATTATGGCCATGGGCTTCTGACCTCTTTCCGTTTTTTTTTGGCTTTCATTGGCTTTGACCTCTTCGAAATTCACACACCGTGGCGGAAAATAAGAAACACGTCTGACCCCCACTAGTCTCAGTTTGCGTTAATAATTCAGACAAAATGTTGTAAATATTGAACACAAAAATATCTATAATTACATTTTATATTCATAAATAACAACATGAGTGTGTGTGTAGGTGTGGTTATTGTTTGTTCGTATATGCGTATTATGTGTTAAGGTGTTTACACTTAACATTAAAGATGCTATTGACTGGCAATTGCTAGAAGTGTGTATCGGAAATTTTAATATGTGCAGTTGGATGTTCCGAGAATTTTATTGGCTAAAATCTGAAGAATTATGGAAACGGGGAGAGTATACAATTTCAGATATAAAGAAAGTGATTTTAATACATTATTTCATTCTACGGGCTGTAGAAGAGCTTGAGGTCTTTTAATGGCTACAGACGAGCTTGAGGTCTTCTATTATCTACAGAGAACCTTGAGACCTCCTACTAGTTATAGAAGACCTTGAGGTCTTCTAATGGCTATAGAATATCTTGAGGTCGTCTAATGACTATAGAAGACCTTGAGGTTTTCTAATGGCTATAGACGAGCTTGAGGTCTTCTATTGGCTATAGACGAGCTTGAGGTCGTCTAATGACTATAGAAGACCTTGAGGTTTTCTAATGGCTATAGACGAGCTTGAGGTCTTCTACTGGCTATAGACGAGCTTGAGGTCTTCTACTGGCTATAGACGAGCTTGAGGTCTTCTACTGGCAATAGACGAGCTTGAGGTCTTCTACTGGCTATAGACGAGCTTGAGGTTTTCTACTGGCTATAGACGAGCTTGAGGTCTTCTACTGGCTATAGAAGACCTTGAGGTCTTCTACGGGCTATAGAAGACCTTGAGGTCTTCTACGGGCTATAGAAAACCTTGAGGTTTTCTACGGGCTATAGAAGACCTTGAGGTCTTCTACGGGTTGTAGAATAGCTTAAGGTCTTCTACGGGCTATAGAAGGCCTTGAGGTCTTCTGCAGGTTATAGAAGACCTTGAGGTCTTCTACAGGCTATAGAAGACCTTGAGGTCTTCTACAGGCTATAGAAGACCTTGAGGTCTTCTACGGGCTATAGAAGGCCTTGAGGTCTTCTACGGGCTATAGAAGGCCTTGAGGTCTTCTACGGGCTATAGAAGGCCTTGAGGTCTTCTACAGGCTATAGAAGACCTTGAGGTCTTCTACGGGCCATAGAAGACCTTGAGGTCTTCTACGGGCCATAGAAGGCCTTGAGGTCTTCTACGTGCCATAGAAGAGCTTGAGGTCTTCTACGTGCCATAGAAGAACTTGAGGTCTTCTACGTGCCATAGAAGACCT